AGAGAGAGAGAGAGAGAGAGAGAGAGTATGAGTGTGTGAGTATGTATGTGTTTATATGCATGTATATGTGTATGTGTGTATGTGTGTATGTGTGTGTAAAAGAACCTGGTGGCTGCAGTCAAGGACCACACACCCCACAACCCCTACCACCCCAAGCTGGTGCACTGCAGGTAGGCTGTGTGTGTTTGTGTGTGTGTGTGTTTGTGTTTGTGTGTCTGTCTGTCTGTCTGTTTGTCTGTTTGTCTGTCTGGACTACGAATCCTAGTTCGAATCTCTGTCTCGTTGTTCTTGAACTCTGATTATTTTGTGGATTTTTCAAGACTCTCAACCCATTTGGCTGGGTTTTATCAGAAACGGACGTTAAATTTGAAGGTCCCCGCCTTTTAAATGACCTAATAGTGTCGATAGAGGCGTTAAACCCTTCCACTTACAAACACAACGTCAGGGCCCAGAAGGGTTTAGAACCCATGATCCAACATTCTGACTAGTAGACTACCTACGCCACAATGATACTGTTCCTACATTTTCTACAACTGTCATTATAACCCCTTTCAACAGCGTCTGTGGTGTAGTGGCTAATCGCTTCGCTGTCGCACACAGAAGACCCGACATCGATTATCAAGCGAGGAATTTTTGTTTATTAAACATATCGGTCTTTCAGCTAAGATGTTGTTTCCCTCTTGATCTGGGTTAGCCCAGACAGGCAGAGTCGAAAGCCAGCTTCCTGCCTAAATAATCTAAACTGTGTGGATAGGGGCGTAAAAGGGCACTTACATGACCAAATTGAGTTGATAGTGCCGTAAAAAACCTACTTAATCAATCAGAGGCGTAAAAACACCTACATTTAGCAAAATGTTATAACCTTTGAACTGACCACCCCCATCCCCCCCCCCCCCCCACCAGTGCTGGCGTGGGCAGAACTGGGACCTTCATCGCCCTGGACATCCTGCTTCAGCAGATCCGGACTGATGACATCAGCACAGTGGACATTTTCGGCCTGGTTCTCTCCATGAGGAAAAACAGACCACTGATGGTGCAGAGAGAGGTGAGACTGGGACTTATTTTTCAGAAAGTTTGATTTGTTTACTTTCGTTTTGATAACAGTTTTACGGCTTTTGTAACAAAAGTGCTGGAGTTTAGAGGTTTTACTAAAAAGTAACATACAAAGAGCAGAAGGAGGGGAAATAATATGGACAATAGATGTTTGACAGGAAAGAAGGAACAAACCACATCAGGGAATCTGCCAACCACCAACAGACTGTTTCTTAAGTTATGCTGAAAATGTAGCATAATGTGATATCAAGAACATAAGCTATGCTGAAAACGTTGGAAAATAAAATGTCAATTACGTAAGTCATGCTAAAAACGTGGATTATTATAATATCGAAAGCGTAACATATGGTGAAAACGTAAGATGATATAACATTAAGAACATAAGTTATGCTGAAAACGTAGGATAATAATAATATCAAGAGCGTAAGTTATGCTCAAAACGTAGGATAATATAACATCAAGAAAATAAGCTATACTGAAAACGTAGGATAATAAAAATATCAAGAACGTAAGTTATGCTGAAAATACGAGCTCGCTCAAATTGCAGGAGATGTATGCTCTCCATAGACTTGTATTATAATATCCAAAACTGGACCCTTATGATGTAATTCCCGTTCACTATGTAATGGAGCGTACATTTTCACTCTATTTGGAACCAAATGAAGAGCAAAGAAAGCAAAGCTGCGCGGGCTCTCGACTAAAGCGAGACTTGTGTTTTGTCTTTCCTTTGCGTGTCCATGTTGCGCACCAGCCCACCGAAGTTGTTGTTGTTGCTACTGTTGTTGTTGTTGTTGTTGTTTTAGAAAGAAAAGAAAAGAGTAGTGGCCATGACAGTGCTCTGTCTAGTATAATGCAATTCAAGTCTATAAGTGGCCCTGAGACAGTGGTCTAGATATGATTTACATCCAAGCCTTTCGGTTGATATAAAGGTGCCAAGTCTGTTGTATTATTATAATTCAAGCCTTTGTGCGGCCACAGGAGTGCCGTGTCCAGTACATTTTCATTCAAGTCTGTGGGTGGCCACAGCAGTGCCCGGTCTAGGGTAGATGTATTATAATTCTAGTCTTTCGGCGGCCATGACAGCGCCTGGTCTAGTAATTTTTATTCAAGTCATTGGGCGGCCATTACAGTTCTCTGTCTAGGATACAGTAAGTCAAGTGAAACAGTGGCAATCCCTGACTGCTTGTATGTGTTGTTTGTCCGGTACAGAACCAATACATCTACATCTACGACTGTCTGAGGGACGCCATGATGGATGAGTCAGAGGACGAGGCGTCCGTAGCAACACTTGACGACCGTGAGTACTGGCACCTCTGAATGGGTGTTGTGTTTGTGTGATGTGGGGGGGGTGAATGTGTACATTGGTATGAGTGTTTTAAGTGATGTGTGTATTGCTTGTGTATAAAGGGGGTGGGGGGTGGATGTATGTATATGTGAATGTCAGTGTGAGTGTAGATAGGTAAGTGTGTTTGCGCACCACATGTTATGTTTGAGTGAGTGAGAGAGAGAGAGATACAGAGAGAGATAGAGAGAGAGACAGAGAGAGAGAGAGACAGAGAGAGAGAGAGAGAGAGAGAGA